CGCTGCCCGGGGAAAATTTGAAGTTAAAAATCTACCCAAAGTATTTCAGGATCCTCACCGGTGCTACAGAGCCTGTGCACTGTGCTGAGCTTCTTCGGACTCAGACTTGAGTTAGAAGAAGCACTGAGCACTTATGGGTTACTACCCGTGTGCCATGATGTTGATCCGTTGTTCAAACTTCAAACCTCATCATCAATGGAAGTCATATGTTTGTTTGTTTTAGTATCCAGAAGCCATGAGTTCTTAACCCTTAGGCTCGGTATTATGGATATCGCAACCTTTCGGCCTTGATTCCATTTTAAATACCGTAAATCTGGGAGAAATGTGGCTTTCTGCCCACCCCCGGGAGTGAACCCGGACCACAAGGAGTTCGTCACCCGCTCACCGCGCAATCCGGTTTAGCCAACTACGTTAGAGAGACGGGCATAAAAGTCATATAAGTTTTGTAAACAACGACTTTATTTATTAATCGCAATTCGTTAAATAGAAACCCAGTTCACATAAACAATACATCCAGCAAATACAGCCAATTCACGTACAATACAGAACTACAATTGTAATAATCACTGCATCACTGAAGCTGCACTCAGTGATTAAAAAAGCAAAAACAAACTAGTATAGATCCCTTTTCACGCCTTTAGACGTATCGGGTATAGGAGAAAAGCGCCCATATTTTTACAGTCCATGGGCACTAGATGGGTAATGTGGTCAGCATTACGCCGGCCGTCTCTACTTCTCCAGGACAAACACCCTGGTACCCATTTAAGACTGGGTCGACCTGCGACGCCCCATACGATGATGAAAATTCATGCAGCCAGCAGTGGGTTTCGATTGCGGTATGTTGGAATTACGAACTCGCAACGCCGCTCTCAATGATACAGTAATCCTAAAACTTTGCGTAGAAGCTGGACTGTAAATATATTTATTAAAAAAGAGATACAACTTTACAACAACGAACATGTTATAGAAAGTCTCTTCTCTTGTGTCTCAAAGAGAGTCCGTAAACACACACACACACACACACACAAACACACACACATACACACATACACACACACATACACACACAAACAAACACACACACATATACACAGTGTTTCCGCTTATATATCTTTCACGTTAGCGCGCGTGCGCCCACGCACACACACACACAAACAAACACACACACACACAGTGTTTCCGCTTATATATCTTTCACGCTAGCGCGCGTGCCCACACACACACACACAAACAAACACACACACACACTCGCGCGCACTAGCCATGTTGTTCTAGGTCTGTTAGTTCTATTTCTGTTAGTTTTGTGCCTGTTAGTTCTAGGTCTGTCTGTAAGCTATAGGTATGTAAGCTATAGGTCTGTAAGCTATAGGTATGTAAGCTATAGGTCTGTAAGCTATAGGTCTGTAAGCTATAGGTATGTAAGCTATAGGTATGTTAGCTATAGGTCTGTAAGCTATAGGTATGTAAGCTATAGGTCTGTAAGCTATAGGTCTGTAAGCTATAGGTATGTTAGCTATAGGTCTAGTTCTAAGTATGTTAGCTATAGCTCTGTTAGTTCTGGCTGTTAGGTCTTGGCATATTTGTTCTAGGTCTGTTAGCTGTATACCTGTTAGTTCTATGTCCTGTTATATGGCCTCGTTGTTCCAGATCTGTTTGTTCTAAAGCCTCTTAGTTCCAGGTATGTTTGTTCTATAGCCTCTTAGTTCCAGATCTGTTTGTTCTATAGCCTCGTAGTTTAAGATCTGTTTGTCATATAGCCTCATAGTTCCAGGTCTGTTTGTACTAGCTATCAAGTTTTAGGTCTGTTAGGACTATATCTTTTAGTTTCAGATCTGTAAGCTCTAGGTGTGTTAGTTCCATGTCGGTTAGTTCTAGGTCGGTAAGTTCTGGGTCTGTTAGTTCTCGGACTTTTAGTTCTATGTATGCTAGTTTGCGGTCTGTTATTTTCATGCCTGCTAATTCTACACCTGCTAGTTTTAGGTACGTTTGTTCTAGTTATGTTAGTTCTATGTTAGTTCAAGGTAAATTAGTTCTAGGTATATTAGTTGTAGGTCTGTTAGTTCTAGATCTTTTCGTTATGTCTTTTAATTCTAGGTCTGCTAGTTTCATGTCTGTCAGTTCTAGGTCTGTTAGTTCTGTATCTGTTATTTCTATGTCTATTAGTTATATGTCTGTTAGTTTTATGTCTTTTATTACTAGGCCTGTTAGTTCTATGTCTTTTATTACTAGGCCTGTTAGTTCTAGGTCTGTTAATTCTAGGTCTGTTAGTTCTAGGTCTGTTAGTTCTAGGTCTGTTAGTTCTAGGTCTGTTAGTTCTAGGTCTGTTAGTTCTAGGTCTGTTAGTTCTAGGTTTGTCAGCTCTGTGGCCTGCTGGTTTTAGACCCATTAGTTCTTTGCCAGTTTCTTGTCTCACTGGATACCCGCTATAAAACCACATGGGACAGAAACAAAAACATCACACAGAAACACAACCAGGCATGGTGTTCCCTTTCTGGTTAATCATCTCATTTCATTTGGATCTTTTTGTGCAATGCAGTCTCCAGGTGAGGTCAGAATTGCGGAGGAGTGCCCATTTGTGTGCTTCGTTCACGGGAATTCCCAATGAATTTGGTTAGTTCTTCTATTAAGTGGTTTACACGACCGGCCTCTTCTTTGTTTACCGTTTGGTCTGGGCATAAACGATGTCTGTGGTATACTGTTCTTTGACGTCCGCGTGATATGGCCAAACCATTTGAATTGTTGTTTTCGAATGAAATCTAGAGCTGACACCCCCCCCCCCCCCACCTTTTTTTTTTCTAACAAAAATATTTTCCTTCGAATGTCATCGTTTCTGATCTTCTCTCTACTTGTTGTCTCAACAGCGGGAATATGAAACAAACCACTTGACAATGTGCACATATACAATTTATATATTATAAGAACAATAAATATAAGGTGAAAAAAAGGAGAAACAAAACAATTCCTTTAAAGAACACAAAAAAATTTACAACAGCATTTCAACATCATATTGGTCATGAAAATGTGTACACATTTACAGCAACCCAGCCACTGATCTTCTTCGAAATGTTTAACGTTTTGCACCATTTTCGATACGTTTGTCTTCAAAAGTTCACTCTCACAAAAGGTTCACAACAACAGTATGGGTACAATAGGTTTATCAATGGTACATCAGTATCCAATTTCTTATGATCCATCTCTGCACAGCTGACATAGTAATTCTAGAACAAAGTAGCACTAGTTTTAAAGCTGATTTGTTAAAACCTGTCTACAATGTTCTCATCATTTTTCTTTTAAACCACATCTTTTCTGATTTTTAAAAATGTTGTATTAAGAATCAACATCATAGCACTCGGTACACCCCTATAAGCTATAGGTCCCCATCTTCAGCAGCAGTTGAAAAGTTCCAATTCCAATGGTACCAGTAACTGTTTGATTGTATATCCGTCTTCCCCTTTCCTTGAGTGTTCAGCGTTGGTCAGAACCTCTGATAACTCCTTGCAGCACCACTCCCCTCCGACCGTAATGATATATCTGTGCCCCTACACTGTTCACTGGCTCCCAAGGATCCCTCACAACATCCAGCTTGTCAAACATCAATTCACCATCAAGTGCTGCAGAACCAGCCAATCTATCTGCCTGCTCCTTTCCCAACACACCGGCATCACCTGGAAAAAGTATCCAACGGACGCTAACTACCCGGGACCTCTGAAATGATGCTTGCCACTCTGCACGGAGCTTTTTTTTTTAAAACTGACCAGTTAACTGTAAAGATCTACAAATATACATTCTATAGTTGCATACCCTCACGAGATGGATTACCATGATCCCCCCCCCCCCCCAAAAAAAAAAAAATTAGTAACAGTAAGGGAGCTTTCCCTTGCCTTGCTTTGCTGAAAATAACAATCGTCACGTTCAACCAGAATCTCCTTAGGGGGAACTTTGGGTTATAATTGTGACTAAGTTTTGTGCGTCAGATCCAATGGCTGAGCACCGCACGCTGCCATGAGCCATGAAACGGACTCCTGGGGTGGGGATGCGATCAAAGGGGACATAACCAAATACTGTCCCGACTGGCGTCGAATTCGTCTACCGGCGAGCGAATGGGTGATCCGGCAGACGATGAGGACCCTTCCCACTTCACTAGTACATAATATACAGTATATTTAAAAAGCCTCAACTGGGGAAAACTGCGAAACAATACTTCTAACACAAAAATCCTTTTGAATTAAAATAAAAAAAAAAATATTATTCACCTGCACCATTGCAAAGGCTAATAAAATAACCAGGAAAAAAAAAGACTGTTAAAACTGAAAACAATAATGATGAATTAAACAGTTGAAATACCTTCCCCCCCCCCCCCCCCCCCTGTTAATTGGTTGATTCCTATTTATAACGCTGAGCTAACAATAGCTCTAAGTGAGCTCCCATTGAACTCCCCATTGCAGACCTCATTGAGGGGGGCGGGGGGGGGGGTGTGGGCTGGTACAGGGTCGAAGGAGACATAAACATATAGCCCCATAACAAGCAGTTGTGAAAGGTTACTAATAAACGATCAGCTGAAATCGGATGCATTGAGCTTGAAGGCACAGATATCGCAGCCTATCTGTAAACAACAACACAACGTGCTAACTACATTTTAAAGGGCAAGTATCAAAGGACAAGCCAGCTAACTTTTGGTACCAGCCTGTGAGTCCATCAACCATTTCTAGCACGAGACTATAGCAATTACAGCTGTTACAAGGAAGCCTTAGCCTAGTCACAGGCCCAGCTGAACCTATCAACTTCCACAAACATTTGAGTCTGTATGTATACTCTATACTTTTTTATACTTTATGAACTTTTCGTACCAGCCTGTGAGTCCATCAACCCCTTCTAGCACGAGACTACGGCAGTTACAAGAAAACCTTAGCCTCGTTAAAGGCCGAGCTGAACCTATTTATTTCCCCCAGACAGTTGAGACCATTTTTTTTATCCTAGAAACGACAACTCTAATATCCTTCTCAGTTATGTGACCCGTCCTGCCATACAATCTGTATTCGAAAGGTCCGTATTTCCATCGGCCGCAGCTTGATTGTAAACGGTGGGTCCCAGGCTGCTTTGTAATCAAGCGATGCTGAAAAGAAAGACTAGGAGATAAGTTCTGTGCATCTTTTTTTTTTAAAAATATAACTGATTCAAATGAGACAACACATCAAACTTTCCAGTAATCAAAAGTGTGACATCAATGTCTAGGGTTCACATAATTCCACCATTTTGCAGACGCCGTCCTCATTTCGGTGTTTACTTTGGCGCCCGCAAAATGGTGGACCGATGGCAACCGTAATCAACACCCTGTCGTCAAAAACCGGTTACATCAAACTCACTTGTGGTCAAATCCGGTTACATCAAACTTCCCTGTGATCAAAACCGGTAACACCAAACTTTCCTATGGTCAAAACTGGTTACGTCAAACTTCCCTGTGATCAAAACCGGTTACAGGAAACTTCCCTGTGATCAAAACTGGTTACATTTAACTACAATGTGATCAAAACTGTTTACATGATACTTCCAGGTGATCAGAACTGATTACATGGAACTTCCCGGTGATCAAAATTGTTTACATCAAACTTCCCTGTCATTAAATCTGGTTACATCAAACTTGCCTGTCATCAAAACTGGTTACATTAAACTGGCACTAAGCCAACTCCCCCAGCCTGTAAAGTAACTATAGTTTTACACACAAACACCAACAATTTTTTTTTAAAGTTTTGGGGGTAACCTAATTGTACAAGGAATGTGCGGAGCAGAGTAGACATATGATAGTTGCTGATGGATGTGCGGTACAGAGTAGACATATGATAGTTGCTGATGGATGTGCGGTACAGAGTAGACATATGATGGTTGCTGATGGATGTGAGGTACAGAGTAGACATATGATGGTTGCTGATGGATGTGCGGTGCAGAGTAGACATATGATAATTGCTGATGGATGTGCAGTGCAGAGTAGACATATGATGGTTGCTGATGGATGTGCGGAGCAGAGTAGACATATGATGGTTGCTGATGGATGTGCGGAGCAGAGTAGACATATGATGGTTGCTGATGGATGTGCGGTACAGAGTAGACATATGATGGTTGCTGATGGATGTGCGGTACAGAGTAGACATATGATGGTTGCTGATGGATGTGCGGAGCAGAGTAGACATATGATGGTTGCTGATGGATGTGCGGTGCAGAGTAGACATATGATAATTGCTGATGGATGTGCAGTGCAGAGTAGACATATGATGGTTGCTGATGGATGTGCGGTACAGATTAGACATATGATGGTTGCTGATGGATGTGCGGTACAGAGTAGACATATGATGGTTGCTGATGGATGTGCGGTACAGAGTAGACATATGATGGTTGCTGATGGATGTGCGGTACAGAGTAGACATATGATGGTTGCTGATGGATGTGCGGAGCAGAGTAGACATATGATGGTTGCTGATGGATGTGCGGTGCAGAGTAGACATATGATAATTGCTGATGGATGTGCAGTGCAGAGTAGACATATGATGGTTGCTGATGGATGTGCGGTACAGATTAGACATATGATGGTTGCTGATGGATGTGCGGTACAGAGTAGACATATGATGGTTGCTGATGGATGTGCGGTACAGAGTAGACATATGATGGTTGCTGATGGATGTGCGGTACAGAGTAGACATATGATGGTTGCTGATGGATGTGAGGTACAGAGTAGACATATGATGGTTGTTGATGGATGTGCGGTACAGAGTAGACACATGATGGTTGCTGATGGATGTGCGGTACAGAGTAGACACATGATGGTTGCTGATGGATGTGCGGTGCAGAGTAGACATATGATGGTTGCTGATGGATGTGCAGTGCAGAGTAGACATATGATGGTTGCTGATGGATGTGCGGTACAGATTAGACATATGATGGTTGCTGATGGATGTGCGGTACAGAGTAGACATATGATGGTTGCTGATGGATGTGCGGAGCAGAGTAGACATATGATGGTTGCTGATGGATGTGCGGTGCAGAGTAGACATATGATAATTGCTGATGGATGTGCAGTGCAGAGTAGACATATGATGGTTGCTGATGGATGTGCGGTACAGATTAGACATATGATGGTTGCTGATGGATGTGCGGTACAGAGTAGACATATGATGGTTGCTGATGGATGTGCGGTACAGAGTAGACATATGATGGTTGCTGATGGATGTGCGGTACAGAGTAGACATATGATGGTTGCTGATGGATGTGAGGTACAGAGTAGACATATGATGGTTGTTGATGGATGTGCGGTACAGAGTAGACACATGATGGTTGCTGATGGATGTGCGGTACAGAGTAGACACATGATGGTTGCTGATGGATGTGCGGTGCAGAGTAGACATATGATGGTTGCTGATGGATGTGCGGTACAGAGTAGACATGTGATGGTTGCTGATGGATGTGCGGTGCAGAGCAGACATATGATAGTTGCTGATGGATGTGCGGTACAGAGCAGACATATGATAGTTGCTGATGGATGTGCGGTACAGAGTAGACATATGATAGTTGCTGACGAAAGTCGCTCTCAGACAAGATACGCGCACTGCTTCTGCTGCTTCTTCTTCTCCGTTTGTTGTGTGCGTGTGTTGTGTGCGTGTGTTGTGTGCGTGTGTTGTGTGCGTGTGTTGTGTGCGTGTGTTGTGTGCGTGCGTGTGTGTGGTGTCCTTTTATTTTTATCCCGTTCCTCCCCCTCCTCAGCCCTTTCCACCGGGTTTCAGTGCACACTATCTGGTTCAAAAGAAACACTAAGATTGAATTTTGAAGTATCAGAATCACCACCAGTCACTTAAATGGGAAACAAATGGAGTCAGGAAGCGAGATTCAAACATCTAGTTAAACAGTGGATCTGATGTTTTCCTACGACTTGTCTCCCTTCTCTTGCCCTGTTTTCATGAGTAGAAAGGTTTGAGGTTTGAACAACGGATAAACATAATAACACGGGTAGTAACACACACGTGCTACGTTCTTTCTTCTAATTGAAGTCCGTGTCCAAAAAATCTCAGCACAGTGCAGAGGCTCTGTAGGATCCTGAAACTCTTTGGGTAGATTTTCAACTCCTTATTTCTGCCGGGCAGCGCCGTTAGGCTACTCTTTTCGATTTCAAATGGCCATTTGTTTACGTGCGCAACAATACAAGCGGGCGTCCCATCTCACTACCCAGAGACCAGTGGGAATTACTAGAAGTCCAAAAATCCCTGCCCTTACTGAGGATTGAACCCGGAACTCTAGCACTCGAGGCGGACACCATGCCTCCAGACCACGCAGCCCCCTTCCGAGTAGAGAATATGATCTCAAATTGATCAAACCATCCCAGCCACTGCCTCTTTGAGCTCACTACATGTGAGGATCAAGATGTTGGAGAAGAGGAGGGATAACAGACTTCACAAACGAATAGGCATCGCCAGAAATACATGAAGAATATACACTACATGTGAGGATCAAGATGTTGGAGAAGAGGAGGGATAACAGACTTAACAAACGAATAGGCATCGCCAGAAATACATGAAGAATATACACTACATGTGAGGATCAAGATGTTGGAGAAGAGGAGGGATAACAGACTTAACAAACGAATAGGCATCGCCAGAAATACATGAAGAATATACACTACATGTGAGGATCAAGATGTTGGAGAAGAGGAGGGATAACAGACTTAACAAACGAATAGACATCGCCAGAAATACATGAAGAATATACACTACATGTGAGGATCAAGATGTTGGAGAAGAGGAGGGATAACAGACTTCACAAACGAATAGGCATCGCCAGAAATACATGAAGAATATACACTACATGTGAGGATCAAGATGTTGGAGAAGAGGAGGGATAACAGACTTCACAAACGAATAGGCATCGCCAGAAATACATGAAGAATATACACTACATGTGAGGATCAAGATGTTGGAGAAGAGGAGGGATAACAGACTTAACAAACGAATAGGCATCGCGAGAAATACATGAAGAATATACACTACATGTGAGGATCAAGATGTTGGAGAAGAGGAGGGATAACAGACTTAACAAACGAATAGGCATCGCCAGAAATACATGAAGAATATACACTACATGTGAGGATCAAGATGTTGGAGAAGAGGAGGGATAACAGACTTCACAAACGAATAGGCATCGCCAGAAATACATGAAGAATATACACTACATGTGAGGATCAAGATGTTGGAGAAGAGGAGGGATAACAGACTTAACAAACGAATAGGCATCGCCAGAAATACATGAAGAATATACACTACATGTGAGGATCAAGATGTTGGAGAAGAGGAGGGATAACAGACTTAACAAACGAATAGGCATCGCCAGAAATACATGAAGAATATACACTACATGTGAGGATCAAGATGTTGGAGAAGAGGAGGGATAACAGACTTAACAAACGAATAGGCATCGCCAGAAATACATGAAGAATATACACTACATGTGAGGATCAAGATGTTGGAGAAGAGGAGGGATAACAGACTTAACAAACGAATAGGCATCGCCAGAAATACATGAAGAATATACACTACATGTGAGGATCAAGATGTTGGAGAAGAGGAGGGATAACAGACTTAACAAACGAATAGGCATCGCCAGAAATACATGAAGAATATACACTACATGTGAGGATCAAGATGTTGGAGAAGAGGAGGGATAACAGACTTAACAAACGAATAGGCATCGCCAGAAATACATGAAGAATATACACTACATGTGAGGATCAAGATGTTGGAGAAGAGGAGGGATAACAGACTTAACAAACGAATAGGCATCGCCAGAAATACATGAAGAATATACACTACATGTGAGGATCAAGATGTTGGAGAAGAGGAGGGATAACAGACTTAACAAACGAATAGGCATCGCCAGAAATACATGAAGAATATACACTACATGTGAGGATCAAGATGTTGGAGAAGAGGAGGGATAACAGACTTAACAAACGAATAGGCATCGCCAGAAATACATGAAGAATATACACTACATGTGAGGATCAAGATGTTGGAGAAGAGGAGGGATAACAGACTTAACAAACGAATAGGCATCGCCAGAAATACATGAAGAATATACACTACATGTGAGGATCAAGATGTTGGAGAAGAGGAGGGATAACAGACTTAACAAACGAATAGGCATCGCCAGAAATACATGAAGAATATACACTACATGTGAGGATCAAGATGTTGGAGAAGAGGAGGGATAACAGACTTAACAAACGAATAGGCATCGCCAGAAATACATGAAGAATATACACTACATGTGAGGATCAAGATGTTGGAGAAGAGGAGGGATAACAGACTTAACAAACGAATAGGCATCGCCAGAAATACATGAAGAATATACACTACATGTGAGGATCAAGATGTTGGAGAAGAGGAGGGATAACAGACTTCACAAACGAATAGGCATCGCCAGAAATACATGAAGAATATACACTACATGTGAGGATCAAGATGTTGGAGAAGAGGAGGGATAACAGACTTAACAAACGAATAGGCATCGCCAGAAATACATGAAGAATATACACTACATGTGAGGATCAAGATGTTGGAGAAGAGGAGGGATAACAGACTTAACAAACGAATAGGCATCGCCAGAAATACATGAAGAATATACACTACATGTGAGGATCAAGATGTTGGAGAAGAGGAGGGATAACAGACTTAACAAACGAATAGGCATCGCCAGAAATACATGAAGAATATACACTACATGTGAGGATCAAGATGTTGGAGAAGAGGAGGGATAACAGACTTAACAAACGAATAGGCATCGCCAGAAATACATGAAGAATATACACTACATGTGAGGATCAAGATGTTGGAGAAGAGGAGGGATAACAGACTTAACAAATAGGCATCGCCGAATACAGAAGCATACACTACATGTGAAATAGATGAGAAGAGGAGGGATAACAGACTTAACAAATGAATAGGAGCCAGAAATACATCAAGATGTGAGGAGAGATGTTGGAGAAGAGGAGGGATAACAGACTTAACAAACGAATAGGCATCGCCAGAAATACATGAAGAATATACACTACATGTGAGGATCAAGATGTTGGAGAAGAGGAGGGATAACAGACTTAACAAACGAATAGGCATCGCCAGAAATACATGAAGAATATACACTACATGTGAGGATCAAGATGTTGGAGAAGAGGAGGGATAACAGACTTAACAAACGAATAGGCATCGCCAGAAAAATACATGAAGAATATACACTACATGTGAGGATCAAGATGTTGGAGAAGAGGAGGGATAACAGACTTAACAAACGAATAGGCATCGCCAGAAATACATGAAGAATATACACTACATGTGAGGATCAAGATGTTGGAGAAGAGGAGGGATAACAGACTTAACAAACGAATAGGCATCGCCAGAAATACATGAAGAATATACACTACATGTGAGGATCAAGATGTTGGAGAAGAGGAGGGATAACAGACTTAACAAACGAATAGGCATCGCCAGAAATACATGAAGAATATACACTACATGTGAGGATCAAGATGTTGGAGAAGAGGAGGGATAACAGACTTCACAAACGAATAGGCATCGCCAGAAATACATGAAGAATATACACTACATGTGAGGATCAAGATGTTGGAGAAGAGGAGGGATAACAGACTTCACAAACGAATAGGCATCGCCAGAAATACATGAAGAATATACACTACATGTGAGGATCAAGATGTTGGAGAAGAGGAGGGATAACAGACTTAACAAACGAATAGGCATCGCCAGAAATACATGAAGAATATACACTACATGTGAGGATCAAGATGTTGGAGAAGAGGAGGGATAACAGACTTAACAAACGAATAGGCATCGCCAGAAATACATGAAGAATATACCATGTGAGGACTACATGTGAGGATCAAGATGTTGGAGAAGAGGAGGGATAACAGACTTAACAAACGAATAGGCATCGCCAGAAATACATGAAGAATATACACTACATGTGAGGATCAAGATGTTGGAGAAGAGGAGGGATAACAGACTTAACAAACGAATAGGCATCGCCAGAAATACATGAAGAATATACACTACATGTGAGGATCAAGATGTTGGAGAAGAGGAGGGATAACAGACTTAACAAACGAATAGGCATCGCCAGAAATACATGAAGAATATACACTACATGTGAGGATCAAGATGTTGGAGAAGAGGAGGGATAACAGACTTAAACAAACGAATAGGCATCGCCAGAAATACATGAAGAATATACACTACATGTGAGGATCAAGATGTTGGAGAAGAGGAGGGATAACAGACTTAACAAACGAATAGGCATCGCCAGAAATACATGAAGAATATACACTACATGTGAGGATCAAGATGTTGGAGAAGAGGAGGGATAACAGACTTAACAAACGAATAGGCATCGCCAGAAATACATGAAGAATATACACTACATGTGAGGATCAAGATGTTGGAGAAGAGGAGGGATAACAGACTTAACAAACGAATAGGCATCGCCAGAAATACATGAAGAATATACACTACATGTGAGGATCAAGATGTTGGAGAAGAGGAGGGATAACAGACTTAACAAACGAATAGGCATCGCCAGAAATACATGAAGAATATACACTACATGTGAGGATCAAGATGTTGGAGAAGAGGAGGGATAACAGACTTAACAAACGAATAGGCATCGCCAGAAATACATGAAGAATATACACTACATGTGAGGATCAAGATGTTGGAGAAGAGGAGGGATAACAGACTTAACAAAACGAATAGGCATCGCCAGAAATACATGAAGAATATACACTACATGTGAGGATCAAGATGTTGGAGAAGAGGAGGGATAACAGACTTAACAAACGAATAGGCATCGCCAGAAATACATGAAGAATATACACTACATGTGAGGATCAAGATGTTGGAGAAGAGGAGGGATAACAGACTTAACAAACGAATAGGCATCGCCAGAAATACATGAAGAATATACACTACATGTGAGGATCAAGATGTTGGAGAAGAGGAGGGATAACAGACTTAACAAACGAATAGGCATCGCCAGAAATACATGAAGAATATACACTACATGTGAGGATCAAGATGTTGGAGAAGAGGAGGGATAACAGACTTAACAAACGAATAGGCATCGCCAGAAATACATGAAGAATATACACGAGTGAGCACACACTTACGCACACACACACACACTCATCCACTCACACATATAACACTCACCACACACACACTCACACACACACACTCACTCACTCACTCACACATATAACACTCACCACACACTCACTCACACACACACACACACTCACTCACTCACACCGATAACTCACACCGATAACACACACCACACACTCACTCAGAGAGATAATACTCACCACGCACTCACTCACACACACATAACCCTAACCACACACACACACAGGAGAGCTCCTTGACAAAATGGCCAAGCTATCTGTCTGGCATTCTAAAAGTGGTTGATTCTTTTTAAGAACTGAATGTTTGGTTCACACGTGTATCCCTGGAGTAGAAAAGGAAAACATATTCAAGATGTACAGAAGCGAGGAATAAAGAAACTCAAACAGGAAAAAATGCAACTGTTCTAAGAATATCATGGGTAAAGAAAAGAACAAAATCATCCATACTTCAAGAACTGAATATCGAAGGAGGTTGGCTATTAAAGGCGATAAAACATAGAAAATTAAAATATTTTGGTCACTAGAAACATCACAAAAGTTTAGAGAGAACAATAATGGAGGGGTATATCCCTGGGAAGAGAGGAAGAGGAAGGCCAAAAAGAAGACGGGTGAAGGATGTTGCAGATGATCTCCAGACGGGTGTATCGGACCCGGGACATCTCGCGTGTGATCGAGAAGTTTTCCTGAAATTTGTTATGAGAGCAAGATAATGCAAAGGACACGCTACTGACTGACTAAATGTACTGTCAGTCCGAGGGGGGTAACAAATTACTTACAAATCATGGGTGAAGTGGCTCCTCTGGTTGTCTCCCATGTCAGCCGATGGATCTCAGTGGGTCTAAAGTTGCCCCCCAGTGTGGACTCTTCAACGTGCACAATCTTAAATGGGCTGAATAAACTCTGGAAATAAATGCATCAAGCAATGTCTGTAAATGCAAATCAAAGGTTATTTGCGTATCCTTTACAGGACGTTTCAGAACCAATCCCAACAGGCCATGGCTGTTGTGTGGTTTTCTAGGCAAATTTAGGTGCAGTAGTTTACCATTGCTTTATGGACGTTCGGCTTTCTTGATACCACTGTCGAAACTAATATTAGTCTCATGGTCTGCAGCTGGAATCGAACCCAGCATCCCTGCATTACGAAGCGTTTGCATCGACTTAGCCACAGAGCCGACAAGCAGGCATCTACATGGTAATAATACAACAGCTAATAACAAATAAATGTTTTTTAAAATAAAAATGTTTACCGACAGATTAACAAACCCATCCACTTATCCATACACCTATCCAAATACATACCCATACTTACACAAACTAACACACTCACACCCACTCACAGCCACTCAAACATGCACACACAAGCACACATACACGCCCTCAGATACACTGACACAAACAACATAAACACATATACACTAACAAACGGGAGTCGTCGTGGCGGAGAGCTAGACGCTCGCCTGATGATCGGAAAGACGTGGGTTCGCTCCCTGTCGGAGCCGGACTTTTTTTCAAAAATGACCTCAGCTCCTAGGTCGACCTAGCCTTAAGTGGGCACTGGGTGCAGTCCCGTGAAGTAAAGGCCACCAGCGGGATGCTGACCACATCACCTATCTTGTGCTGATTGGTCTATAAAATATAGGTCTAGCCCTATATGCCCTATATGCCTAAAGTCGTGGAAAAGGGTCCTTTATTACTTATACTTACACTAACCTACACATACTTACACACACCCACTCACGCACACACTCACACAGATATAAAAACAGCACTCACTACACACACACACGCTCGTGCACATATGCACACACACCCTCACACACATATACACACACACGGGAGAGCTCTTTGGCGAAGTGGCCAAGACAACTGTCTGGCGTTCTGAAGGTCGCTGGTCCCTTCTAGGAACTGAATGTTCAGTTCCCACATGCATCGTGGAGTTTTAGCGTTTCGTATTTTGTCCATTGCTAGCTCTTTTATGGAGAGGGACCAAAAAAAAAAAAAGAAATAAAACCTATAGCATTGAAGTCGACCCTCTCGCATTTAAACCTTAACAACTTTAGTAACAAATGATGTCCAGCTAACAGTCACGTAATGTATACCGAATTATCATATAAAAGTCAGTGTCACTTTATGTGTACAAATGACAGTGTCATTTAATGTGTACCAAATGACAATGAGAGTTAAGTGTCACACAGTGTATAATAACAGTGTCACATAATGTGCAAAAAATGAGAGTAAGCTGACAGTGTCACATAGTGTGTGTGACAAATGACAGTGTCACATAGTGTGTGTGACAAATGACAGTGTCACATAGTGTGTGTGACAAATGACAGTAAGAAGGCAGAGAAAGGCGGCGGGTTTTATGTGCTAGTGCTTCCATCAATACACCTCCACGACCCTAATAGGTTTGCGAGAACCAAGTAATGATTGTGAAGCTGCAGTCAGGACAAGACTGCAAGGACAAGATGTTAAGAGGGGTGTGGCCAGACAAAAGTGCAATGCAGGAAGCCAAAGAAGAATAAGAAGTTAACACAGAACTGGTGTCGTAAGCCACTACACGCTGCGGGATTTACTAAAGAGGGGATCTGATAACTTATGGACTTAATGGTTCTATGTGCAATGAGGATAACTAACTGTCGACTAACTAACTATCTAAATGACATTAAGTTGGCAGTGCCCCATGTCACAATCAACGGCAACATGACCAAAAAAAAAAAAAAAAACCTAACCTCGAGATTAACCTCCACAGGCATTGATAGCATCCGATCCTCCCTCTCTTCAAAGACATGCTCCAGTCGGATGATGAAGAAATCCGACTCGTTCTCTGAGATTCTGTCGAGTGTTACAATCTGGACATTGTTTGGCAGTGGTGAATTCAAGAAGTTGTGCTGGGGAAGCAGAAGCTGTCACTGTTAAGGTTTAAGTTCTGCAACTCTGTGTGTGGGTTCCAGTGAGAAGGAAAGGAAAAGATCCAGTGTTATTCAGCAATATATATATGCCCGGATCGCTAGCATAGTTGGTTAAACCTGACTTTGCGGCAACCGGGTGACCATCTCCTTGTGGTCAGGGTTCACGCCCGGGGGTTGGCAGAAAAGCCACATATCTTCAAGATTTATGGTATCCATCATGGAATCAACCCCGAAGGGTTGCGAAATCCGCAGTACCGTGCCAAAGGGTTAACAACTCATGGTTTCTGGATGTTTAAAAAACAATATATATATATATATATATATATATATATATATATATATATATATATATATACACACACATATACATATACACACACACACACATTCTGAAAAGACACTCATAAAAAGTAGTGGAAAAATAAATGGACACACTATATAACATTAAAATCAAAGCTATTTGTAGTTTAAACATAAATTCCACTTAACATTCATGTCACAAAAGGCGATTAATCAAAGGAAAATTGTGAAAGAACTTCAGTTCCAGTGGACCAAGAGGTGAAGAAAATACGCTGGCACTGGATAGGACACACGTTGAGAAAACATGAGAACAGTATAACTAGAATGTCTTTGCACTGGAACCCACAGTGGCAGAAAATTAAAGGGAGACAAAAAAGCACACACGGACAAGGGAGCTAGTTTTAAAGTTTAAAAAAAAAGGAAGGACATGTGGAGAGCTGCATGCGATAGAGAACGACAGAACGACTTGGTGTCAGTTGATTGAGGGTATGCTCCACTGCAAGACTGAAGGCAAAAGGAACAAAAATAATACGCGTAAAATCATGTAAGGGATGAGATATCACAGAACAGCTGCAGGGGTAACAAGAAGAAATACACTCAACATTGAAGAAAGTAGAAGGCTAGGCCTGAAGCCATATCTCCTGTTCAATAGGCAGTCAAAGATGGGAAAGTGCGGACATCTGACGGAGAATTCCCTGATACTAACTGTCACAGAGGCACGTTGAAGAGATAAAATGAACTTGGAGCATGGGTAAGACGATGTAAGAGATGCAGCATCAGCATCAAGCACAGCCTTAAAAAAAAATGAAGATCAGCATATGCAACACACTAGAAAGAGCACAGACAATCTATTCGTCTTCTCACAACACATCGTAGGGTAACAAGGAGAAGAGAGGAGGAGGCGGAGGAAGAAGAAGAAGAAGAAGAAGAAGAAGAAGAAGAAGAAGAAGAAGAAGAAGAAGAAGAAGAAGAAGAATAAGAAGAAGAAGAAGAAGAAGCAGAGGATAAGACGACGATGAAGAAAAAGAAGAAGAAGAAGAAGCAGAGGATAAGACGACGATGAAGAAAAAGAAGAAGAAGAAGCGGAGGATAAGACGATGAAGAAAGAGAAGAAGAAGAAGAAGAAAAAGAAGAAGAAGAAAAAGAAGAAGAAGAAGAAGAAGAAGAAGAAGAAGAAGAAGAAGAAGAAGAAGAAGAAGAAGAAGAAGAAGAAGAAGAAGAAGAAGAAGAAGAAGAAGAAGAAGAAGAAGAAGAAGAAGAAGAAGAAGAAGAAGAAGAAGAAGAAGAAGAAGAAGAAGAAGAAGAAGCAGAAAAAAAAATGAAGAAGAAGAAGGAGGAGGAGGAGGACTGTGACCTGGCCAGCTTACCTGTGTAGGAGCACGAGTATTATAGCGACCATCGACCAAACGAGCGAACATTGGGACAGAAGCCAGGTGAAGTTGCAGAGCTAGATGTTTGACCAGTAGCGTTGACTTCTCTCTACTGTCTAGACAAACATAGTGCTTTCCTGCAAATGATCACACATATTCACAAGTTAACTGTCCCGAAGTTCTCTCGTTCACCGGCGGTAAACTCCGGTGGAAAGTTCTGGCTGTTCGTCCACTAATGGACTTTACTTTTGTTCCGAAACTTGACTTTTAAATTCACATCCATTTTTACAGATATGGATTATTTGTATGCTGGTTGTTGATTTCTCGCCTGTCAGACAGATACACTCCCAGTTCGAATAAAGTTAACATCCAAGTAATTCATGCACTAAAGCTTACTGTGTATATGGTAGTATCAGTTAGTAAAGTATCAATCTGAAAACCAGGGAGTAAAAGGGGGGGGGGGGGGTAAGGGGGAGGGCTGCGTGGTCTTGAGGCATGGTGTCTGCCTCGAGTGTTAGAAATTCCAGGTTCAATCCCCGGTAGGGGCTGGAATTTTTTTTCAAGTGGACTTGGACTTCTAGTAGTTCCCCTGGTCTCTAGGTAGTGAGATCGGACGCCAGTGTGCATTGTTGCGCACGTAAAAAAAAAAATAAAAAAAAATTATTTGGCAGTTGGAAATAGGAAAAAAAGTAGCATAACGGCGCTGCCCGGGCAAAATTTGGAGTTAAAAATCTACCCGAAGTATTTCAGGGTCCCCGCAGGTGCTACAGAGCCTGTACACTGTGCTAAGATTCTTCGGACTCAGACTTGAGTTAAAAGAAGAACGGAGCACTTTTGGGTTACTACCCGTGTGTTATAATGTTGATCCGTTATTCGAACCCCTAACCTCTGAAAACCAATGAAGATTGGGACCTATCATTCTAGAATAATTTTGGTATGGACTTTTTGGAGCTCAGTGAGTGACGATTATATTACCTGAGACCCACTTTAGGCTGGGTCGACCTGTGATCCAAGCTCAAAAAAAAAAAAAAAACTGCGAGGAGCGGAAATACAGATAACAACTAAGGCAATTACTAATAAACTACAAACATTAATTAACGTGCCGGTGCAGAATAAAAGGAATTATATGGTATTGAGAATCACAAATGTAGAACTTTGAGAAAGAACTAATCAAGTTCCAGTGGACCAAGAGGTGAAGAAAAGACGCTGGCGCTGGATAGGGCAGGCGTTGAAAACAATATTACTATAATGTCTTTACAATGGAAAGTAGAAAGGATTAAAAATAAATAAAGAAAAAAAAAAAATACGCACGCACAAACGGAGAAGGGAGCTAGAGAGTCAAGATTGGGGGGGGGGGGGGGAGAACATGAGGTGAGCTGCATGCAAAAGCGAAGGATAGAACCAGTTGGCGTGAGCTGGTTGATAGAGGGTAGAAGAAGAAACAATAAAATGGAAGCAGATGGTCTGTCTGTCTGTCTGTCTGTCTGTCTGTCTGTCTGTCTGTCTGTCTGTCTGTCTGTCTGTCTGTCTGTCTGTCTGTCTGTCTGTCTGTCTGTCTGTCTGTCTGTCTGTCTGTCTGTCTGTCTGTCTGTCTGTCCGTCCGTCCGTCCGTCCGTCCGTCCGTCCGTCCGTCCGTCCGTCCGTCCGTCCGTCCGTCCGTCCGTCCGTCCGTCCGTCCGTCCGTCCGTCCGTCCGTCCGTCCGTCCGTCCGTCCGTCCGTCCGTCCGTCCGTCCGTCCGTCCGTCCGTCTGTCCTGTCTGTCTGTCTGTCTGTCTGTCTGTCTGTCTGTCTGTCTGTCTGTCTGTCTGTCTGTCTGTCTGTCTGTCTGTCTGTCTGTCTGTCTGTCTGTCTGTCTGTCTGTCTGTCTGTCTGTCTGTCTGTCTGTCTGTCTGTCTGTCTGTCTGTCTGTCTGTCTGTCTGTCTGTCTGTCTGTCTGTCTGTCTGTCTGTCTGTCTGTCTGTCTGTCTGTCTGTCTGTCTGTCTGTCTGTCTGTCTGTCTGTCTGTCTGTCTGTCTGTATGTATGTATGTATGTATGTATGTATGTATGTATGTATGTATGTATGTATGTATGTATACAAAAGAAAAAGAAGTGAGAATGGGAGTCCCTGGAGTTTATATAATTTATTATTATTAAATGAATTTCTTGAAAAAAATAAAATATAAACAGAGTTCTTGTTTGCTTACACGAATAGAGGCAGGGGGAGAAGAAGAAAGTGTCAAACGAGAAGGAAGAAGAGGAGGAGGTCGGTGGAGGAAGAGAAGAAGAAAAATTGAAGAATTAGGAGGAGGAATTGGATGAGAAATATACGAAGATAAAGAAAAAATAAGAAAAAAAAAAAAAAAAAAAAAGGAGGAAGAAAACAAACAAGTGAAAACTGAGAAAGCAAAAATTAATGATGAAGAACCCGTCTGAAACGTGCATCAGTTATAGTGAGATTGATTGAAAGGCTCTACTTTCGATTGATTACATTTAAGATGTTTGTGCTGGTAAGTAATATCTCTCACAATGCAGCCATTGCTTTAAACTTGTATAGCATCTGTAAAGATTAATCGCTATTCGTACCAAGTTTGTGATATCAGATCCACATATAGACAGTCCTAGAAAATCATAAACGCAAAATGACAGATCAAATGAGATGCACAAGAAATAAGGCGGGAAAAACAAGAATAGACAAGAGTCACCAATGAAGAACTAGGAACAAAGAAATGCACAGTACTGATAAAAGCCTCCGTGGTCTAACAGTGGCTAGATTCTCGCCTGCGGATCGGAAGTTCGTGGGTTCGGTTCCTGACGAAGGCCGGATATTTTCAAAATGACCTTAGCTCCCAGTTAGACCCAGCCTTTAGTGGGTGCCAGGTACAGTCCTGGAAAGTAAAGGCCGCCGACGTGATACTGACCACATCACCCATCAAGTGCCGCTTGGTCTATAAAATATAGGTCTAGCCCTAAATGCCCAATGCGCCTGAAAGGCGTGGAAAAAGGTAATTTACTTTTTTACTCACAGTACTGATGAATGATTCTATAGACCATCAAATAATCAGCTAGTTGGTCATCTGGTGAGAACAGAACAAACTCAGCCAGCAGTTACAGTGTATTATTTGAGAACTAAAAGCTTAAAGGCAAGAGGTAAACCAATAAACAGAAAGAAAGAAAGAAAGAAAGAAAGAAAGAAAGAAAGAAAGAAAGAAAGAAAGAAAGAAAGAAAGAAAGAAAGAAAGAAAGAACAAGCAGAAGGAGAAAAAGAAAAAGAAGAAGAAGAAAAAGAAAACATAATATTAATAATAATAATTATAATAATAATAAAAAGAAGAAGAAGAAGAAGAAAAAAAAAGAAGAAGAAAAAGAAGAAGAAGAAGAAGAAGAAGAAGAAGAAAAAGAAAAGAAGAAGAAGAAGAAAAAGAAGAAGAAGAAGAGAAAGAAAATAATAATAATAATATTAATAATAATAATAATAATAATAATAATAATAATAATAATAATAATAAGAAGAAGAAGAAGAAGAAGAAGAAGAAGAAGAAGAAGAAGAAGAAGAAGAAACAGATGAAGAAGAAGAAGAAGAAGAAGAAAAAGAAGAAGAAGAAGAAGAAGAAGAAGAAGAAGAAGAAGAAGAAGAAGAAGAAGAAGAAGAAGAAGAAACAGATGAAGAAGAAGAAGAAGAAGAAGAAGAAGAAGAAGAAGAAGAAGAAGAAGAAGAAGAAGAAGAAGAAGAAGAAGAAGAAGAAACAGATGAAGAAGAAGAAGAAGAAGAAGAAGAAGAAGAAGAAGAAGAAGAAGAAGAAGAAGAAGAAGAAGAAGAAGAAGAAGAAGAAGAAGAAGAAGAAGAAGAAACAGATGATGAAGAAGAAGCACCTGTATAAATTATTCCTTTGCCATCAACGCCATTGTCCACCAGTGGTTGTCCTATACCAAGGTCGTCGTCAGTCGTGACACGTCTGTGTACCTGTGGTAACCATCAAATAGAAGACGGAGAACTTTTGATGTCAGAGAAAGGAGGGGAGGATAGCCAGAGTGAACGGGCCGCATTAGCGCAGTCGATAGGAGACTCGCTTTCAAATCCAGCTGCGACTCGCTGCAGCCTACGGCCGGTGTTCAAAACCAGGCGGTTCCCGGGGTTCACCCAGCCTCTAGGAAATGGGTACCAGAGTTGACATTCTGGGGTAAATGGAGGAACGTCGCTGTAACTACAGAGTTACGTGCGGACGGCGATACAGGTGGACAGTTTCTTATCAGCTGTCCGTACTGGTGGCAGAGAACTTATGATTAATAAACGTGTGCAATGACACTAAATATGCAATGACATTTATAACTATGGGTACATTTCCAGGGACGTGAAAACATCTGTTTTTATTACACTACCCAAGAAATCAAAAGCTGTTGATTGTGAAGATTACAGAACTATTAGCCTAATGAGTCACGTAACTAAGTTACTCTTGAAGATATTACAAGCAAGAATTCAAGATAAAATTGAGAAAGAAGTTTCTGAAAAGCAATTTGGATTCCGTAAAAACAGTGGTACTCGAGATGCAGACTGAAAAATATATAGAAGTACAGAAAATATTTATGCATGTTTTATAGATTACAAAAAAAGCTTTCGACAGAGTGCAACATGAACAACTAATTGCACCTCTTCAAAACATAGGACTAGATGGAAAGGATATCAGACTTATTAGAAACTTATACTGGGAGCAAGAAGCAACAGTAAGATATGACAACATCTGCTCACCCCAAATAGAGATCAAGAGAGGAGTAAGACAAGGATGTGTGCTGTCGCCTAGCCTTTTCAACTTATGTACAGAAACCATTTTTTAAAGAAATTTTAGAATTACCAGGACTGCACATCAATGGTAGAACAGTAAAAAATCTGAGATATGCTGAAGACACAGTGTTGCTAGCAGAGAGTGAGCAGGAGTTGCAAGACCTAGTGGAGCAAGTAAACAGAAGGAGTGCAGAATTTGGATTAGATATAAATTTGAAAAAGACAAAAAGCATGATATTTAGCAAAGAAAATAATCAGCTAACAAGGAATATCACAGTGAACGGGGTGAAATAGGAACAAGTTACACATTTCTTATATCTTGGACAAGTAATAACATGTGACGGCAGAAGTGAAACAGAAGTCAAGAAAAGAATAGGGATGGCCAAAAACATTTTCAACAACATGCAAAGGTTACTGACATCAAGAGAAATAAGCAATACATTAAAAATGAGAATTGTCAAATGTTATGTATTCTCAACCTTACTGTATGGCACAGAGACATGGACAATGAACAAACAACTGGAAAATCGTATCAATTCTTTGGAGATGTGGATATACAGAAGATTAGGTCGTATTTCATGGAAACAAAAGCTATCAAAAACAGAGGTACTGAGGAAATTGGGAATGAAAATAGAGTTGCTAGTTGAAATAAAAAAGAGACAAGTGAAATATTTTGGCCACATTAAAAGACATAACAGTATTGTTAAAATCATCCTAGAGGGAAAGGATCAAGGTAGGCGAGCAAAAGGCAGACAGCGCTACAAGTGGGAGGATAACATCAAGAGATGGACGAACAGCAGTATGAGTGAGTGTACATCAAGGGCAAGAGACAGGGCTTGTTGGAGATCCATTACAGCCAACATTCATTGTGGAGACGGCACCTGATTGATTGATTGAATGACACTGGATCACATCTCGCGACTTTTCCTTTTCTTTTATGGGAGAGGAGAAAAGAGGTCCAAGAACACAACTTGTAATTTGGGGTGCGGGGTGATTACCCAGCGGGTTTCCGACAGAACGGATCTACAATAGATCATATATTTTTTTTTACGGCAAACAGCAGAGCAAAACTAGGAATATAGAAGAGATGTACATAGTGTTTGGGATGATAGAGTACACAGAAAAAATTTATGCTGTGAAGGACTTTGGAAAACCAAAGAGGTTAATCACCTGGTACCCATTTTAGGCTGGGTCGCCCCATACCACGATAAAATTTCACTCAGCCAGCAGTGGGCTTCGATCGATAAAAATTAAAATTACGAGTCGGACTCGCAACGCCTGAGCCACGGACGCCACTTAGTTACATGTATACATTTTAAATTGATGTCTCAGCTATGTGCACATGTGTAACGTTGTCTCAAACAACAGAACCCATACTTCAAGACTGCCTCAAATATGACACATTAAGGCAAATCTAATGGGGAAACAGCAGAACACATACTTCAAGACTGCCTCAAATATGACACATTAAGGCAAATCTAATGGGGAAACAGCAGAACACATACTTCAAGACTGCCTCAAATATGACACATTAAGGCAAATCTAATGGGGAAAAAAAAGGAACAGTGGAATGTAAATTTTATCCTCCACTGAAAGATTTAAACAAAAAAGGCAGTTAAATTTATTTACGAGATATCATCATCATCAAGTAGCAGGCCCAGAACGCTGCTCTCATCGCTGTCTTCATGAAAGAAAATCTGTCTCTCGCCAGCTCTCCCGCCTCGCGTACATTCATATTCAAGGAGTCATTCATATCCTGTGCTCATCTTAGAGTTGGTCGGTCCCTGTACCTCCTTCCTGGTACCCTGCCTTTTTCTTTTATTCTTTCCAATCCGCCATGGCGTTTGATGTAACGAAAATATTTCAGCTTCCAAATCAGGATGCTGTTTATTAGCCAGTCTTCTTTGATGTTCAGAACGTTTAAAGTTTCGGCATTTCTTCTCCTCTCCGTCCATGGTGTTCTGAGAATTATTAGATACAATTGCAGATATAGATTTCTTATTTCAGACGTACGAAAGAGGAAGAACAAGTAATAGACACAACGTATAGCACCAAAGGTGTACACCTGGTGTGTCATGTCAAATGACCTGCATTGCTTCGGAGATAGTGCGTAGTGAGCAGCCTGTGGATCTTATCTCCAGGCTGCACAGGTGTGTTGGTAAATAAAGAGGCAGACGTCTGGCTGATTCAGAACCACGTGGTGGTGAACTGATGCATGACACACTGCCCACTAAGAGACATGTGTGTGTGGCGTTCAACCCACCAGGACCCTGCAACGAGTAACCAACACCCAGTGACATAAACTGCCATCATTCGGATGAGAATCACCCGGGCACAAGTCCCAGAAACCCCGTTCAACTGTTAGATTACATTAGGGCCCCCGACTAAAGCCAGGGTGTGGCTTCAAAATAACGAAACACTGATTTCAATATTGGGGCGGCAGTACGGTTATAGACTGCTATGTAACATGTCGAAAAAGGGGACTCATTATAACAATTTGCAGAAATGAATGCATACGATCAAAATGGGCAAATATCCGATTCTAACCACAGCCCAATGTACCAGTGGTTCTTTTAAAAGTGAATGATGCAGAAGGTGAAAATGTTCACGCCGAGGCTCATTTGATAACATAACCCTTGACCCGTTAGGGTTGTTGAAGTGTATCTATTGAAGCACTAGTCAACAAAACCCGCCATCTTTCTCTGTCTTCTGCTTGATGAACAAGTGTATGATAACTTAGTCCTGTCCATTTATTGATGTCATTGCAGGTTCTTCTTTGCCTTCCTCTTCTTCGACTTCCCCCAAAGTTCCTTGAAGCATGTCTTTGCAATTGAGTTATGTCTCACAGAGTGCCCGAACCAAGCTGGCTTCCGACATTTCACCACTGCCAAGAGAGGCCCCTGATATCCTGCAAATTTGTGAATTTGGTGTCTGACAGATTTATTAGTTTTCTAAGATGGAAAAAGAAAAGAAGAAGAAGATTGATTTTGACTGTGAAGTGGTTTGGACAGCTAACAAGAATGCCCTGGTACTATCTGCCATTTCGAGCCACACTAAAACGTTACAACCGGTATAGAGCGAGTGGAAGACCTCGGAAAATATGGAGTGATGGCATTAAGCACAGCCCTACAAAAATGAACCTTAGTCTTAATAGTGCTCTTGACAGAGCTCATCAACCAATGTTACATTTCCTACCGACACTTCGCTGAGGTATGTGAAAGAGAAGAAGAAGAAGAAGAAGAAGAAGAGGAAGAAGAAGAAGAAGAAGAAGAAGAAGAAGAAGAAGAAGAAGAAGAAGAAGAAGAAGAAGAAGAAGAAGAAGAAGAAGAAGAAGAAGAAGAAGAAAAGAAGAAGAAGAAAAAGAAAAAAAGAAAAAGAAAAAGAAAAAGAAAAAGAAAAAGAAAAAGAAAAAGAAAAAGAAAAAGAAAAAGAAAAAGAAAAAGAAAAAGAAAAAGAAAAAGAAAAAGAAGAAGAAGAAGAAGAAGAAGAAGAAGAAGAAGAAGTTGACAGATATTGCAGGCACTTACCATGAGTTCCAGAGATCCCGATGCCAGGCTGCTTCCTCCTTGGGGTCTGTCAGGCAGAACAGTCAACTGTATATCCTTGTCATCATCCTGTGTTGATAACAATGATGTAATGATCATGATAATAAACACACACACACACCCAAACATGCACACACACACACCCCCACACACACACTCACACACACACACCCACACACACGCGCAAATCAATATTATAAATAAAGAAATGTCTCTTCATTGGTAGGGGTCACACAGTTCAGGAACTGATCCATAGAGTCTACATAGATATTTGTGCAGAATAAATTATAACTAAATTAAATAACTTTTTCCGCGCCTTCCGACAAGTCAATTATCTTAAACAATAAACCAAGAAACTGAACAATGTTTGTACCTTGGACATAAAGTTACCCCCGGTGGGGTTCAGAAAAGGTTGTAACATCAAGAAAAAACAAAGCAAACAAAGTATTTGCCATCGTTAACAATGTATTGAAGTCAAAGACACTTATTCGAAGACACGCTATACAAGAGCAACGTTTTAGGAATACGTGTTGGAAAGGACAACGGGATTTACTCATAGACTACGGACATTCGAAAATAAATGTCTAATGAATAATCCTGCAAATAATTTTGCCACATAAGACAACAAATGAAAAACAAAATTGCTCAACCAAAGGAGACGTTATCAAAGAAAGACGATAATGATGGCTTGGGCACACCTGTCTTATTCCTCAAGACACTGGCAATGACAGCTCTTCGATAGATGGGATATGAAAGAAGAAAGACATGGGCGAGCTAGGAAAAATCGAAGGACAGCACAATAGGAAATGATGGATTGTACACTGACATACGATATCATAGCCATAAACGCAGGAGACCCACAGCAAAGGATAATTCCTTATGCATCAACAACAACAACAAGAAGAGGATATAATTGGATGGGCGAATGTCACAGGAACCAGCTCAGAGGTTTATGTTAAAACAGGGATGAATGTCTACCTTGAAGTTTATGTTAAATCTTAACGTTGAGATTTATGTTAAAAGGAGTGAATCTCATAAGAGCACACTTTGAGGTTTATGTTAACACAGGAAAGAATCTCAGGGGAATATACCCTAACATTTATGTTAAGACAGGGATGAATCTGATATGAAAACATCTTGAAGTTTATGTTAAAACAGGAATGAATGTCAAAGGAACACACTAGAGGTTTATGTTAACACAAGAAGGAAATTCGCAGGACCACACCTTGACGATTGTGTCAACTGAGGAAAAAGTCTCGCACGAAAAAAACCTCACAACCATGTGGTTTATTTAACACGGGGAGAGGAATGGGGAAAAAAAAGGGGGGGGGGGGGATTTAATTGGAACCTCACTTCAGATGTTTGGTAACACAGGGATGAACCTCCCAGGAATCCATTTGCAACTGATGCTCACACAAGGATGATTTGCAACTTGATCAGTTCCCAAGAAATGTTGATGCGGGATTAGCTATTTCTCACTGAATCGCACAAATCGGATAATTTGTTCTCTTTTTCTTCTGCCTTTCTAATCCCCCAATGGAGCATAGGCCCTCGACCAACTCACGCCAAGTCGTTCTATGCTTTTCTATCGCATGCAGCTCTCTTCATCCTTTTGAATCCCTTCTTCGTGTGTTTTGTTGGTCTTTATTTATTCATATGCCCTTGTGGGTTCCAGTGCAAGGACATTCTAGTTATATTACCCGCAGGTTTTCTCAACCTATGTCTTATTCAACGCCAGCTTTTCCTTTTCACCTTTTGGTTCACTTGAACTTGTTAGGTTCTTTCTCAAAGTTCTACATAAGTGATAATATAATACCATCCAATTCCCTCTATTCTGCGCAAGCACCAGTTAATGAATGTTTGTACAATAAAACCTCGCTTAACGAGCACCTCTCATAACGAGTAATTCGCATAACGAGCAAAACAAATTGTAAAAGATTGACTCGTTTAACGTGCGACGTTCCGCATAACGAGTGGCGAGGAGAGTGGAAGTCCCGGATTTTGCGCATGTTACATCAGTGTTTAGCACTCGTTCCAGTAGCATTGCCGCTTGTGATCACACATTTTCTTAAACTTGTGTTATTTTGTGATATATGTACACGAATCTTCCAGGCCTACAAGATGACCTCCCTGAAGAATTTAAGTTAATCAAGATCCAATTTCTGCCTCCCAACACCACTCCTTTACTCCAGCCCATGGACCAGCAAGTTATTTCTAACTTAAATAAACTCTACACTAAAGCACTCTTCGAGCATTGTTTTCATGTAACCGAAGGGACCAACCTCACTCTCAAAGAGTTTTGGAAAAATCACTTCCATATCGTTGCCTGCCTCAAGAGGACCGACACGGCGGGGGAAGGGGTTACAAAGAGAACCCTAACTTCTGCTTGGAGGAAGCTTTGGCCGGAGAGTGTTGTCGATTTGTGACTTTGAGGGGTTCGAGACAGTACCTGTGGAACCTGTAGTCAACGAGATTGTGTCTTTGGCCTCTATCATGGGATTGTAGGTGGATAACAGAGATATCGAAGAGCTTGTGGAAGAGCACAGCCAAGAGCTGACCATCGAAGAGCTTATGGAGTTGCATTGTGTCTCACAGCAAGACGTTTTGGAGGAAAGTTTGTCAGAGGAGGAGGAGAAGAAAGTAACAGAAAAGCAGCAATCTTCTGGCGAAATAAGAAAAATTCTGAAAACATGGGGAACTGTTGCTTCTCACATTGAGAAGCATCACCCTAATAAGGAAGTGGCTATGCGCGCTGCAAATTTACTGATAATGCTGTGTCGCATTTTCGCCGAATTTTGAAGTGTCGACAAAAACGAATGTCTCTGGACATCTTTCTAGTAAAAACAATAGTTAGCTATGTATCATAATTATTTCGACTTTTTTTCCCCAGCAAATCGAAATCACATTCCTTGTGGGTTCGTTCTGCGTTCGAAGAAAAGATGAAGATGATTCACTCTCCTTAAATATGTAAATACTATTCTTTGAATAAATGTTATAGTATAATTTATACATAGCATTTTGTGAGGTTTTTGTTTTCGACATAGAACGCATTATCGTATTTTACATTAATTTATATGAGAAAAATTGCTTCGCATAACGAGTGTTTCGCTTAACGAGTATGATTCTGGAACAAATTATGCTCGTTAAGCGAGGTGCCACTGTAGTTTATCAGTAATTGCCTTACTTGTTCTCCATGTTTCCGCTCCATACTACAGTTTAGTATTTATTTTAATTTATTTTTGCCCTCCACAAATTCCCTAGTGCTTTGAAAACTCTTCTTGCTTTTTGTATTCGTATTTTACTATCTCTATCAGTCCCTCCATATTTATCTACATTACTGCCCAAATAGATATACGACTTCACGTCTTGGAGTGGGATATCATTACTATTACTATTTGCCTGATTTATTCTCATTATCTTTGCCTTTTCCTTATTGATCTTCAGGCCTAGCTATTATGATCTCGCATCAAGTATATTTAATTTATCTTGCATCTGATTCCACAATAGAAATATCATCAGCGAAGTGCAAATCATTTGTTCTCTTCCTTCACAAATTTATCAGGAGGATACTAAACAAATATGATTTCTCTGGGCATCATGTTGACATCCGTTTAGCCACTTACAAAATTGTGCAACTGTCATCTTCCATCTTGGTCATCTGGGTAAAGTTTCAACACTGCAGCATTGACGGCAAGCCCATATTAGCTCCGTCACGCTTTCAACATCAGGCCAAAGACTCATACTAACGGTTTTCATTGTCATCTGGTTAACCGGCTGTACGTCTCGCTTTTCCTCCGTCTCGAGTTGTGCCTGGAGCTTACAGACACTACACGCTGCATCATTCTCTCCAGGACAAATTTTTAGTATCTTCCATTTTACTTGCGAGCGTCTTTTAGGCGAGAGTTTACCTCCTGGTCATTTCCCACCATCACATGTATTATGAGCTGAAAAAGTTATGTTATAAGAGAGACACAATCTTTAGTTAGCAGCGGGTTTAGGAGGGAAGTACATTTTTTTTTTTGTTGGGGTTAAAGAATAGAGAGGCTACATTTAGTGCTGGGAACGAAGTGAACGCTTGTTAGTTAATTTCTACGGGAAAAATTCATTTGCTATTCGTCCCTTTTTTAATATTCAACCTTTCCTAGAAACTGATTGATGACAAATATTGGAGTTCCTGTGTACTTATTTGACTTAAAAAAAAAAAATAAAACATGAAACACTGAAGGTCATTAGAAATCACAACAAAGAAAAATCACAACAAGAGTAGAATAACGACAACAGAAAGAAAAGAAAGGAAAAAACAGAAGAAATCTTACCTGAATAAATATTCTAGAAGTTACCGGATAGTAGTTGCCAGAAATAGGGTCGTAGACTTTAGGGTTATCTTCACTCGTTCTTCGTCTGTGCGAATAAATTCGATGAATCGGTAAATACACCTGAAATCTCAGTTAATCAGTCAGAAGGCAAAACAATGCAGTCAGATGTCTTTATACCACAGCGCAGGACAAAGAAGGCAAAACAATACAGTCAGATGTCTCTTTAACACAGTGCAGGACAAAGAAGACAAAACAATACAGTCAGATGTCTCTTTAACACAGTGCAGGACAAAGAAGACAAAACAATACAGTCAGATGTCTCTTTAACACAGTGCAGGACAAAGAAGACAAAACAATACAGTCAGATGTCTCTTTAACACAGTGCAGGACAAAGAGGGCAAAACAATACAGTCAGATGTCTCTTTAACACAGTGCTGTACAATAAAGGCCAAACAATACTGTCAGATATCTCTTTAACACAGTGTAGGACAAAGAAAGGAAAACAATACAGTCAGATGTCACTTTAATACAGTGCAGGACAAAGAAGGCAAACATCAGCTAAAGAAGATGAAAAAAAAAAAAAAAAACACGTACAGTGAGACACCCCGACATCTATGAAAAAAAAAAAAAAACAGTAATATACTTCTACGTCCATGGAAGGGGGAAAAAAAGAATGAATAAACAGATAATCGTACACCCATGAAAGAAGAAGAAAAGAATGAACAAAGTAGGATACTACAAGTGAGCTCTGCATCCTTGGAAAAAAAAAGCAGAAGAAATAATAACGTAGACGGTTAAATACCTCTATATCTTTGGAACACGAAGAAAGTATAAAGAATAAAGAATAAAGAAGACAGTAAAATACCTCTAAATAATTGGAAAAGGAAGCAAGAATAAAGAAGACAGTAAAATACCTCTACATCCTTGGAAGAGGAAGAAATAATAAAGAGGACAGTTAAATACCTCTAAATCCTTGGTAAAGAAAGAAAGAATAAAGAAGACAGTAAAATGCCTCTATATCCTTGGAAGAAAAAGTAGAAAGAGTAAAGAAGATAGCTGGAGAGCTCTATATCTTTGGAGGAAGAGAACTGACAATAGTGTATAGCATGATACCCCTACATCTATAGAGGCCTAGGACTGACACAAGAAGACAGTAGGATAATGTGTCTCGAAACCTGACATTTTTGAGACAGGCGCAGTGTGTACCCACATTCTCATGATCATCTCTCTCCCGTTGGAGTCTGTGTGGAAACTGGTTCCGCTCTTCATGCTCGATGTAAACCTGGAGATGACTTCCGTTGTCTTACTGAAACAAATGTAATATAAAACATGTTATACTGATGTTTGATTTGATTGATTTGATTCAAGAACTGACATCACAGAATTCGGGGCATTCCCATAAGCGCTCCGTCCCCATCTTCAGCAGCCAGAGAAGAGTTCCGATACTAATGGTGCCAGTAGAATTCTGAATGAATGTCCGACTTGCCTTTCCTCTGAGCTTCGAGCATCTGCCAGAACATCTCGTCACTACCAGCTGAGTCAATCTCCACAGACTGTAGTTATCAATCTGCTCTTCTGAACTGTACATGCTCTCACACAAGGCACTAGCCACGTCTGCCTTATCATGTATCAGTATTCCACTAAGTTGTGCAGAGCCAGCCACTCTGTCCGCCTGTTCATTTCCAACACACCGGCGTGCCGCGGTAAAAAAAATCCAGACAATACTCCTCTCCCGTGTCCTGCATGCCACTCTGCACGAAGCATACCTGTTCTGATCTTCCTCCGCATGCTTTCTGAATTGTTATACTGATGTCAGCTGATTTAGGTTAAAAGGCAACATCATAACACTTGCGACATCATCATAAGCACTGAGTGGAATTGTTGCTTTTGATTGCCAGTCGGTAATGCGGAAGGTTCAAATTGGACTAATGTGACGTGAATGAAACAAAGCATCAGTACGTCAACATTGCAGGAAATTACGTGGGTCTACTGTTCGGGAAATGCAGGAGTGCCTGGGAATAAAAGAGCTGAATTACTAGCTACAAAGGATTACATATATATTCTATTTATGATAACCCAGTCATCTCCTTGTGAGATGCAATTTTTCGTTACCTGAAGTCCTACTCTGGCTCTTGCCAGGGGCCGCACTATAGCCCGGCAATAAATATCGTCTAATGGCTGAACGCGGTTTCTGGGACCTTTTAACAGTGATCCTCATCCACATGGTGGCACTTTGTGTCATCGGGTGTTTATCGCCTGTGTAATGTCCTAGTGGGGTAAAAATCTACTACTACTACCAGCTACGTCGGCTCTGTGGCTAAGTCGATGCGAACGCTTCGTAATGCCGAGATGTCGGGTTAGATCCCAGCTGCGGGCCATGCGCCTTGCGTTGGTTTCGACAGTGGTATCAAGAAAGCCGACCGTCCAGAAGCAATGGCAAAATACTGGACGTATATTTGCCTAGAAAAACCACAACAGCCAGGGGCTGTCGTGGTTCGTTCTGCAACGTCCTGCAAACGATACGCAACTAACTACCAGCTACAAAGGCGATAGCAAAGGGAACACTCGTAATGGACAAGGGAGATATTCTGAAAACCATGTAGAAACAAATATTGAAAAACGAGATGAGATTAGGTGAAAAAACAGGTGTAAGAATGTGCAATTAAAGAATTAGGAGTGGATCTGAAAAAAAGGGACGTATGACAGAAAGAGAACGACGTGTGTATAAACAGTGTGCTGCGGCAACAGTTAGCATCTACATATATCTTAAGATATTTGCTGCCTGAGACTGAGCATCTAAGGGTATGCTCCATGTGCTATAATGTCGACTCTTAAATCGGTAATCAATAGTCAACCTTTCCAATGAATGCAGAGCGTCGGTCATATCCCCTGGAAACTTCCAAACGTCTGATTGTCTCTATTGTCTCTGCATTGCTCTCTCGCTCCCGAAGGACCTTAATCATATCTAGCCTGGCATTCATCATCACCAAGTGGTACTGTACCATCCACCACCAAGGTGGGCACAACTTACAGTACAGACTCCGTGGGCAAGGAAGTGCATGAGGCGGAAGAGCTGGTCAGGTATCGAGTTTCTCTCAGCGAGGCTGTGACGAAAAGACATTCTGTTAATGGTCTGCTAAACATTGATCGAAAACAGCGCAAACTGTCACCTGCAAGACTGCAACGGGAGAAGAGGACAGATGCTGAAGTAGTAACTGTTGCAGGATTTCTAGATAAACACGTGATTGTAACTGACTCACAGGGTATGTTGGGAAATGTGAAAACGGGCATTCTTCGTGCAGAGTGGCAGCATCACTTCAGAGGTTCCAGGTAGTTATCAATCATCTTTTGGATATTTTCTCCAGGTCATGCCGGTGTGTTGGGAAATGAGCAGGCAGATAGACTGGCTGGCTCTGCATCACTTGGTGGTGAATTTATGTATGACAAGTTAGATATTGTGAGGGCCCTTTGGGAGCGAGTGAACAGTGCGGAGTCGCAGATAGATCATTACGGTCTGAGGAGAATGGCGCTGCGAGGAGTTACCAGGTTATCTGATCAACACTCAGGGGAAAGGCGAGGCGGATATACAATCAGATGGTTACTGGTGATATCGGAATAGGAACTCTTCGCATGCTGCTGAGGATGGGGACTGAACACTTATGGGAGTGTCCCGAGTGCTGTAATGTCGATTCTTAATTCAACATTAAACATTGCACATTTTTCAAGGCAAAATTGTACATGTGGCCTTAGATTTCCAATGTCCTTATGATTTCATAATTTACAATTTCACAGGAACTAATGATTTCTTACAACGGCGAATATCTTTTATCTTTCTCTCACTAATAATTTGTTTACCCACAAAAGTTATTTATAAAATAGACACACATTTTTGTAATGCATTAGCGTTACGGCAGCATATTATGTATCCACTTTCTTTACACAGTTTGATGTTTTACCAACTTCGCCTGGAGCCATTTACCGTAAACATGCTTACTGTACACTTTGAATCAGTGTATATATTTAAAAAAAAAGGGTAAAAAATAAATCAACAACAATAAAAAAACGTACGAATTATCCAAGGGTCCAACCACCCACTGAAACTCTGCATACTTTGCTCCCTTGTACAGCCTGACAACCTGAGACACCCAGGGGTTGAACTTCTGGTGCATCTCCTGGACGATCTCACCCTGAAGAAGGACAAGACCAATATCATCATGATCATCATGTGTCGTGTCGATAAATGCCGGCTGTTTTGTTTCAGTATTTCGCAAGGTCATTAGAAATTAGAAGAGACATTTTGAGGATGGGGGGGGGGGGATTTGAAGGAAAAAAAGGGGGGTGGGGGGGGGGGGGGTCTTCGCTCATCTTATGACTAATCCATCTGGCTTGCTTTACATCAATCTTGCTTGACGTTAAAAAAAATTTCAGTTTATTCCTTGTTAGTCCAGAAAAACACCAACTCCCCCCTCCCCTTTATTTCACGACTTTCGTCTCTAGGAGGCCTGATTCATTTGTTTTTGTCTGTCTACTTACTTACTTACTTACTTAGTCGCTCCTCTTTTACCTTGGGTGGTAGAGGTTTGCTAGAGAGATCGTCAGACTTCTCTGTCTGCCATTTTCTTCCTGGCTTTGTTCCATTCCAGTCCTCTGTCAGTTAGGGACTGTCGGATGTTGTCTTTCCAATGGACCCTGGATCGCCCTGGAGGTCTGGTTCGTAATCTCCCATTCCTGCCATGGTGGCCGATTTTCTCCCTCTGTATACATGACCGAACCATCGTAACTGGGACTGATCCACTCGGGGTTGTAAGGGCTGAATATCAAGATCTCGACGAATTGTCTGATTATGGACTTTGTCCCTTCTTGTCACTTGGACCACCTTTCTCAGATATCTTATTTCTGAGGCCTGAAGCTGGCTTCTGTGAGCTGTTGTCATTGCCCATGACACAAATACATATCTCATGAGTGGTACATAGTTAGATTTTCTAAAAATTATGATTGTGTTTTTATCAATTCACGATACTCCTATCTGGTACCACACTTTGTTCCACAAGATTAAAGCAAACCAATGACACCTGATGATAAAATCATGAAATGAGACAATCACATACTTGATGACATTACAGTCTAACAACATGACATCACAAAATGATACACATGCCATTATAAGCTACAAATAACATATGATACCATAACACACGAATCCTTGAAAGGCAAAAACTTGTCATGAGGTGATAAAACACCAGACATCACACACACACACACACAAACCACACAGATTATATGAGACAATAACAAACTTGGCGTTACACAGAAAAGGGGAAAAAAACATGAGACAATAACACACTTAATATTACACAATAAAAATGTGACATGAGTCAATAACACACCTGGCATTACAGGTTAACATTATGACATGAGATAACAATACATCTGACATTACACGATAAAATAGGACTAAGACAATAACAGTACCTGGCATTACACGATAAAATAGGACATAAGACAATAACAGTACCTGGCATTACACGATAAAATAGGACATAACGCAATAACAGTACCTGGCATTACACGATACCAATGTGGCATGAGATAATAACAGTACCTGGCATTACACGATAAAATAGGACATAAGACAATAACAGTACCTGGCATTACACGATAAAATAGGACATAAGACAATAACAGTACCTGACATTACACGATAAAATAGGACATAACGCAATAACAGTACCTGGCATTACACGATAAAATAGGACATAAGACAATAACAGTACCTGGCATTACACGATAAAATAGGACATAAGACAATAACAGTACCTGGCATTACACGATAAAATAGGACATAACGCAATAACAGTACCTGGCATTACACGATAAAATAGGACATAAGACAATAACAGTACCTGGCATTACACGATAAAATAGGACATAAGACAATAACAGTACCTGACATTACACGATAAAATAGGACATAAGACAATAACAGTACCTGGCATTACACGATAAAATAGGACATAAGACAATAACAGTACCTGGCATTACACGATAAAATAGGACATAACGCAATAACAGTACCTGGCATTACACGATACCAATGTGGCATGAGATAATAACAGTACCTGGCATTACACGATAAAATAGGACATAAGACAATAACAGTACCTGGCATTACACGATAAAATAGGACATAAGACAATAACAGTACCTGGCATTACACGATAAAATAGGACATAACGCAATAACAGTACCTGGCATTACACGATAAAATAGGACATAAGACAATAACAGTACCTGGCATTACACGATAAAATAGGACATAAGACAATAACAGTACCTGACATTACACGATAAAATAGGACATAAGACAATAACAGTACCTGACATTACACGATAAAATAGGACATAAGACAATAACAGTACCTGGCATTACACGATAAAATAGGACATAACGCAATAACAGTACCTGGCATTACACGATAAAATAGGACATAAGACAATAACAGTACCTGGCATTACACGATAAAATAGGACATAAGACAATAACAGTACCTGACATTACACGATAAAATAGGACATAAGACAATAACAGTACCTGGCATTACACGATAAAATAGGACATAAGACAATAACAGTACCTGGCATTACACGATAAAATAGGACATAACGCAATAACAGTACCTGGCATTACACGATACCAATGTGGCATGAGATAATAACAGTACCTGGCATTACACGATAAAATAGGACATAAGACAATAACAGTACCTGACATTACACGATAAAATAGGACATAAGACAATAACAGTACCTGACATTACACGATAAAATAGGACATAAGACAATAACAGTACCTGACATTACACGATAAAATAGGACATAAGACAATAACAGTACCTGACATTACACGATAAAATAGGACATAAGACAATAACAGTACCTGGCATTACACGATAAAATAGGACATAACGCAATAACAGTACCTGGCATTACACGATAAAATAGGACATAAGACAATAACAGTACCTGACATTACACGATAAAATAGGACATAAGACAATAACAGTACCTGGCATTACA